GGTCTCCTGATGGTTCGTGCTGATTCCACCGCAATGCCCTTGCCCTTGGTTTTCTGCCTGAAGTCACCTCAGGCCTTCCTGAACTCGGCAGCCCCATGCCTTTTGCTTACCTTTACAGTTTAGTCTGTGATTAATTCATCTTTGCTCTTTCCCTTTCGAAGCTAGAGATTTATGTTGTTCCTGTTGAAGTGATTCAAGGAAAGGGGAGTACCCCCCATGATGTAATGGGTCAGCATTTTGCAACCAATAGCCGCTCCACTCGGGGAAGGGGAGGCTTTCTTCCCACTGCGAAAAGTTACTTTCTGGGAGCCAAAGGCAAATAAAAAAACCCCATAGATCCAGGAATGGATTTGGGGCTCACACTGAATCCTAGCTCCAATTAAAGGACAGTTAGTTCTTACACAAATGGCCCTACTCAATACTTGCCCTCAGGAAGGGAACACAGAAGATATGAGTAACGAAGAAATGAGATGGTGTCTGCCTGTCAGATAAAACAGCATCTGGGATCTTAAAGGCTTGTTTCCAAATAAGCAGCCATCTAATCAAGATGTCAACTAAGTCCACATAGAAGAAGCACACCCAACATCACTGAATAACCGATTGCAAATCACAGAATCTGAAGCCGAAGGAGGAAATAGTATCAGAGTCTAAACTGTGGAATTCTGATTTCAGAAGACTACAGTTGACAGTGGGAACCCACAATACATTCGTGGGATCTACATCGGAAATAAACCTCAGTGTTCTCCCTCTATCCATAGTAGAGTGATGGGAAAAAACTAGTTACTAAACAGAATGCCGTGGAGAGACAGTCAAAATGATAAACCTGACTTGAACAGTTAAAACCTTGCCAGTTGGGCATGATCTAGTTTTCAACATTTTCTACATTTCCTTATTTCTATATTCCTTATTTTCTATTTCTCCTCATTTGCATATATTGGGGCTTGTCTCAGATGTGCTATGTCATTGGCATTTACTCTCCTGAATTTGTGTTACATGTTTTTCTGGTTTTTGATATATGAAACCCAGGATTGATGAACCTGTAAAGACAGCAAGTAGAATAAGAGTACAGTGCGGGAGGGAGGTGGGTAAAGGGGGACTGATGTCAAGGAGTTCAAGAAAGAAGAGAATGCGTGGAAACTGATAGTGGTAGCAATTGTACAATACTGCTTGATGTGATTGAACAGTGGAATGATATGATATCTGTAGTAGTTCCCAATAAAATGGTTTTGGAAAAAAAAAGTTACTTTCTCAGAAACCCACAGGGGCACTTCTATCCTGCCCAACAGGGTCTCTGGGAGTCGTAATAGATTCCATGGCAGTGAGCTTGCTGCTGTTTAAAAAAAAAAAAAAAATCCCTAGTAAAATAAGTAAAGAGTAGATGAAGGATGATTAAGACTTTTATAATTTGTTTTAGTCTCCATACAGTGGGAACCTGAACAAATGCATAGCTTCTGACTTTAAGCCAGAGGGCAGGAGTGTTTGTTAAGGAGTAAGTAACCAGACCAAAGCTGGTTCTGTGGATTCTCAGAGAGAAGCAAGACAAAGCACTTGATTGTGCCGCCACCATTTGATATGGTGAGCCTCAGCCCCAGAAGCAGGAAACAGTATCAGGAAAAAGATATGATATTCATGAACCTACACTGTGAGTGAGTTATAAGACTTAGTGCTCCTTTCCCAAACCTCGCCCCTTTTCTAACGCATACAAATCCACTGTTCAGATAGGTGGGTAGAGAAACCAGCTCTTGGGCATTAGACTGGTAACCACAAGGCCAGTAGCTCTAAATCATCAGCCGCTGGAAGGAGAAAGACGGGGCTTGTAACTCTAGTAAAAAGTTACCGTCTCAGAAACCCACCAGGGTACTTGCACCCTGTCCTACAGGGTGACTATGAGTTGGAATTGACCCCTGGCCGTGAGTTTGACCTCTGGTTGCCTTGCTGATCTAGCAAATAGAGCTGTTTTTCTCCTTCCCCAAAGCTGGTGTCTGAGCATTTGGGTTTGCCTTGGGGTAACATGCCTAGAAAATTCTTCCCCCAGACATCCACATATAATGAATGCTCCCTCACTTCATGCAGCAATTGACTCAAAGACAACCTTCTCAGAAAACCTTTCTCTGATCAAGAAAAATAGCACTTTGTCTCCCTGGCCAATCCTGACTTCCTATGGTGATTTTAACACTAATTTACTATTTGTTTTTCCTAACTAGAATGTCCACTTCTGGGAAGGCTTTTTAATTTTGTTCCCCTAATGTCTAACCCACAACATCAATAGAAACTTATCAAATTCATTTATTGACTCCCTTGAGGAGCCCTGGTGGCACTCATTGGGCTGTCAACTGCAGGGTCAGTAGTTCAAAACCCCCAGCTGCTCCGCAGGAGAAAGAAGAGAGTTACAGACTCAGAAACCCCCAGGGACAGTTCTCCCCTGTCCTATAGGGTCCTCACTGTGTGTCAGCATGGATTCCCTGACAGGGAGCTTGGTTTTGGCTGGAATGCATTTACCCGTCCCACCACTTGTTCCACACATGTTTAGAACACTCTGCGTGGGAACTGACCATGGCGATGGGTTCGAGTTTGTTTTTGCTGCTTTAGATCATGAAGTGCGCTGAAGAAGAAGACTTGAAGATCTATTTTCATAAAGAGGAAAGTCAAGAAAACTCCATGGGGCAGTTTCACTCTGTAACACATGGGATTTCCATGAGTCAGAATCAACTAGGCAACAATGGGTTTGAGGGAGGTTTGGGGTTTTTTTTTACTATTATGTGTCGGGTATTTGTCCAGATGCTGGGGATACATAGGTGAACAAAATAGGCTAAAACAGGCCTTGCCCTAATGGAGCGTACATATTTGTTCAACAAATTAAGTAATTAATTGCTAATAAAATGGGCTCACAGACAAAAAAGAATGGTTACTTATCATGAAAATACATACATAAACTTGGAGCTATTCATCTTTGATACTTTATTAAAAAATTACTACTTCAGATGCTAACTAAAGTCTGTGTTCTCTTTCTGTTGTTGTGGGAACATTTTGTCCTAGTGCTTGCATTGATTTTCTGGCCGTTTTACAGCTAGATTCCACATAAAGGCTGAAATGGAAGACAGGAAAGGGTAGGTCTGCCTTATCTGCTATTTTAAGCAGCTGTCATTCTCAAGGGCAACTTCTCAACGTCTGAACTTGAAGTCAGGATGATGAAAACATAAATATTTTGTTAAATGAAGCTCTTTTTCCTGGTCAGCACTAGACCAGACGGCGACTTGGACTGCACATACCTCAGCGTACAATTTCACTGTGGAAGATCAGCTGCAGTCAAACTTCTGTTACCATTTTTCAGTGATTTTTCCCCAATTACAATAAGAGCAAGTTTACCTTTTGCTTTCTAGATACAAACCTACAGCCGTGGAGTCGATGCCCACTCATTAGGACAGCATAGGACAGGGTAGAACTGTCCCCATGAGATTCTGAGACTGTTTTTCCCCTGAGAGGGGGCTGGCATTTTCAAACGGCTGACCTTGCAGTTAGCAACCCAAGCCCTAACCACTCTGCCACCAAGGCTCCTCTACCAGGTCTGAGAAACCATGTATCTAGTGTTCTAAACAGAAAGCCACATTTGAATAATGTTCCTTATAGAAAATAACCCAACCCAAGCCTGCTGCCCTTGAGGCAATGCTGACTCATTGTGACCCCTGTGGGTTTCCGAGACTCGGTTTGCAGGAGTAGAAAGCCCGGCTGTTCGGAGCTGCGCGTGGTTTCGAATTGCCAATCACGCAGCTCAAAGCCCAACGCATAACCACTACACCGGCCAAGGCTCACTATGGAAAATAAAGAAGAGGGGAAGTGAACACCTGGGTAAAAAGCTACTAACAGGATGATATCCGTAGACACTGAAAGTGGATTCCTTCTCACAGGGACCTAGGAGTGTTCAAAGTGGAGCTGTGCTCCCCAGACTCATCTGTCAGAAGGAGATCCCCGGGCCTTGCCTCTAAAGAGCCTCTGATTGGATGCCAACCTGCACTTGGGGAAGGTTAGCAGCCAGCACCTTAACCATTTCGCCCACCTGGGAACTTGATGTGGTTGGGCGCTGTGGCGTCCATTTCCACGATGCAGCAATGGGCGCAAGGTGAGCAACAACCGTGAGCCTGACTTGGACACGGAAGTGTTTCCTTCTGCTGTGCTAGGGTCGCTTTGGGGCAGAACTGAGCCGGGCACCCCACCATCACCACCCCACCACCATGACGCCATGGGACCCTTCGGGTTATACGACTGCCATCTTTTGTTCTTCTTCTTAGTGAAACCGCCTATGGTTTCACTCAAGTTCATAAAAATGATTTCCCCCCACCCCCACCCCCGCCGAGACTGTTATAGGTTTAGTTCTTGGGAGCAGATCGCTGGCTCTTCCTTTGGGGTGATCTTTGGATGAGGGCCTAGCAATCCTAGAAAACCAAAAACTAAACCGGCTTCATTAGTCAGGAATCCCTCGGAGTCAGACACAAAAGGCTGTCGATCTTCCCTGAGAACGACGGTCTCATAGCCAAGGAGCTTTGGGTGTGCTTCCACCGCTGACCTCGCAGGCGTCAGGTCCAGCGCCGGCAGACCCGAGCCCCAGGCCTCTGGACAACCGTCCGTTACGGGTCTGGGTGCGTTTCCAAGTGGAAGGTTGCCTGAGCACCGGCGTGGCCATTTGAGAAAGGGCGCTCAGGCCGAGCTCTAAACTGAAAAATACTTAGGGGGGGGGGGGGTGCATGGAGGTGTGGCCAGAGGATAGGACCACAAAAGAGGACAGATGTTGGCTGTATTGAGCTTCTTGAGTGAGACATGCCCCCAGCCATAGCCGTTATCCGTGGGCGCCATGACCTTTACCATCAACGCGAGGTCCTGGCTTCCGAGCAGCAGCCCGCAGGCAAAGCACCCCGCGCGGCCGGTCTCCCCACTTCCAGGGCGGCCTCAGCCCTCCGGGACCTCCCCCTTCTCCTCAACCCAGCCAGCAGGCCCTGGCCGCTTACCGATTTGAGTCATCTTGGAGATGCAGAAGCAGGAGAAGCTGAACAGCACCACGGCCACGAAGGCGATCACCAAGTTCACCTGCTTGATCTTCATGGCGAAGGCCCGCGGGGCTGAGCGGGGCTGGCCCCACCAGTTCGCCTCCTTCGACCCCAGGACCCCAATTCCTTGCCTTCTGGGAACTAACTCCCTCCGCACAGAACTCTGCACCGTTTGCGTTCTATACTGCAGTAACTGCTTGGAGGTGGGGTGGG